TAATAATGGTAGTGTCAGAAATCTTGTGTGGAAGGATAAATTATTCAGTAGTGTTTGGGAGATTGGCTAAATATTTGGAAAAATTAAGATACAACTAGATTCTGACCTAGCATAGAAAATTTTGTTGCTGTTAGTGCTGCAGAGTAGATTCTGAATCCTAACAACCTTGTGGACAGCAGAGCGGAACCCTGCCCTGTCTTTTTGCTCCATTCTCTGGCCTTCTGGGGCTGTGTCAGACAATGCTCTGCTGCTATTCACAGGGTTTTCAGGGGCAATTTTTCCGGAAGTGGGTAGCCAGGTCTTTCTTCCTAGTCTGTCTAGTCTGGAAGCTCCACTGAAACCTGTCCACCATGGGGAACCCTGCTGGTATTGAAATGCAGGTGGCATAGCTTTCAGCATCACAGAAACATGCATCCATCACAGTATGACAACCGACAGATGGGGAAACCAACCCAGATTGGGGTAGTGACAGCACAGAATTTAACCACTAGACCACCAGGGCTGGCTATAGAAAAGTTACATATTAGTGTATAGCATATTATATTTATAAACCTCCTATATAAAAATAAGTCCCATACCATGTTAAGTGACTAGAATTCTATTTAAAATATCCTTAAAATTGAAAAGCTAGGTCAAGAGATCTTGTGTGAATGATACAGAGGACATTTTCAGTGTGAAAGCTAAAAGCAGTCTGTCGTTAACATATTTATCTCAGCTTATATATGTTAGAAGCATAAAGATTATGAGCTAATTTCCTAGGAGGAATAAAGAGATATATGAAATATTTTCCTGAGGGGAAATACAATACAATCAAATTAAATTAAGAAGAATTGAGGGTGGAACAAGAAGAACCGAGCCAATTCGCAGGACCAGTAACACTGTCGGTGATACCCAAAGGGTGGAAAAGCCCAGGATTGAGAAATGTTTCTGAAACAGATTCAGGTAAACTTTCACTTGCCTCTGGGCAAATGGGAACCCCATTTCTAGCTCACAGGGTCTGTTGCAATTCTGCTACATGCTGCTGACTCCAGCCGCTCGTCGGCATCAACTATTGGGCGCGTTTTGAATAGGGGTTATGGGTGCGTTTTCCTTTTGCATTTGTGTTGTGTGTGTGTGTTGCTTTAGTCTAGGGCCTGGCTACTCAAGTTCGTTCACAGACCATCAGCCTCAGCCTCACCTTGAACTTGCTAGAAATTTGGAATCTCCACCGCATCCTTCAAAATTAGAATCCCATTTTAACAAGATCGCCATATATATGTTAAAGTCTGAGCCACACTTAAAACTTAAAGAAAACTCTGTGAAGTTTAAAGAGAGAGTGAGTAGCCATGCAGTGGACAAAGTCATTATCAGTCCCTGAGTTTTACTTAGAATATTCTTGTCCCACATTCTCCGTTCATCTAGAGATAAAATTTCCTCCCTTATGGGTAAAGGCTATACCATCCCTTCTAGCCTGAGCTCACTTGCTCATTAGCCTTAATTATGTAAAATACAGCCCAGACCCAGGAATAACTTTAAAAAACCACTCTAGGTAACTAGCACGATGCCTTAACATCTATGTAGCAGAGTTTCTGTGTTTTACACATGGGTGAGCTCTCAGACCCTCTCAATCCTAATAATCTTGGCATTAGGGTTCCCTGCACGCAAAAGATGGGAAGCAGCAAGTTAAAAGGAGAACACAGAGAAGGAAGTAAAGTGCGGGCTCCAGGGGAGGCTCACAATGAGAATTGGTGGTACAAAGAATAGCTTTAACATTTTCACGGTTATTTGGTTTTATAAATCTTGTTTACACCTCAAAAACGGTAACTCAAATCTCAGAGAAGTAGTTTTCAAGTTTCTCTACACATTAAGTCACCTGAGAAGCCTTTTAAAGGAAAAAAAGTGATGCTCAAGCTTCAGTCTCAGAGATTCTGGTCTAACTGGTCTGGGGTGGGGTCCAGACACACATAGGCTATAAAAGCTTCCTAGGTGATTCCAATTAGCAGCCAGAGTTGTGATCCACTAACTTAGAGGTTTGGGGTATTCACTGCAGGGCCCGGAGGCCTGGATGCGTGCATAGCCCTACATAGGCTCTTTACAGCGTGCTACAATGAAGGTCAGGATGACATTGGTACCAGGATTTTCTTTTAAGAGGAAAATGCTTTATATGTTAGAAGTGATTTTGACAGAAAATAAAATAGCCTAGAAGGAAATGATACAGAAACACATGTCCAACTCTTGTGTCATAGTTAGAGAAACCTACAGGGAACTGGTGGAATGAGGCAGACACCTACCATCTCTCCCTCCCGATCCTCCCCCTGTAGACCAATGCTTAACATGTCCACAAACCCCCTGGGGATCTCATTACAATGCAGATTCTGACTCAGGAGGTCTGGGGAGGGCTCCAGATTTTGCAGTTCTCATGAGCTCCAGGTGATGCTAATATAGCTGGTCCAGGAAACACATTTAGGGCAGCAAGGCTGTAGTTCATACTGATGGCTATGACTCACCCTCAAGCCCCTTCTTTGGAACCCAAACAAGAAGGATGGCTTCCTCATTCCTGAAGAATGAATTCCACTGGGGTCCCTAATGTCCAGAATCATTCTGCTCAAAACCATAGGCTTTCCTGAACTAACGTCATGAGTTTATCCATCTCCATCCATTGGTACCAAATCCTGGTACCAATGTCATCCTGACCTTCATTGTAGCACGCTGTAATTGTTCTCTTCTCTCACTAGGTGACTGTATCAGGGGATCAGAGACTGTTGAGTTATAAATGGGTTTAGAGACCATGGAGTTTGGCCCATTCATACAAAAGCACACCAACAAGGCCGAGATGGCAAAGGATGGCAAATATCACAGGCGAGAACGGTTAAGTCAAAATTGGATCCAAGTCAGGAGGTGAAAGCATCAGTCAAGGATTCTTTAAAAAAAGAGTTAAAATAATCCCTTTTTGTTACTTTCTACGTGACACATCTACTTGATTATCTTCAGGGAGCTTGCAGACTAACAAAGAGTCAGAAACAAATACACAACTCTAAAGCTGGACTGACTGGCCTCAGTGCCCTAAGATGGGGCAGATAACATGCTGGAGAGGCCGCGTGTCTCTGAGGCCACAGGGCAGCTATTGTTTTCCCTCTTCTGGAATTTCCATAAGGGAGGCTCAAGGCCTCCACAGAAGCTGCCCAATGAACTCCTCAGTCATCCTTATTTCACTTCTCATGTTTTGGAACCCCTTCTCAAAGGATTTTCTGAATCCTACAAAGAATGATGTATACTCTTGCTCAATATTAAGACACCCTTGTGTGAAACTGAAGCAACATATTGTTCTTTCAAAGTAGCGGGGATCATATTCCCAGAACATTCAGAGGCAAAGTCGGCCAAATGGGTCTGATTCCTGCTCCGTTATTTGTTTCTTTGTGCCACTTAGAAAAGTAAAACAAGTACTAATGAAACCGACAGACCTAGCGGCATTCTGGGTCCTGGAGCCATCTATGTGGCTGGGTGAGTTGGCTACACTGGCTCCTGGGTGCCCCCTTCACTTGCCACAAGAGGCCAACCCGGCAGCACTGCTTAAGTGGACTTGTTAATCATTTTTGACCTCAAAGCTCAGGACTGGGTTGAGACTTCTCCAACAGAGCATATTACCAGATTACCAGATTAGCGTGCTCCCATTGGCTATCTGGGTCTGGAATTAAGAACCATCCACAGGGAAATGAGCCTGAAAAGCCACAAGTCTGAATATCAAATACTAACGCCACGAGGGGCTGCCCTGGGAGACAGGTTTGCTGGGCTCCTGTCCCCTCCCTCCACTCCCAACTTTACTTGGCTCTTGTCTTCTGTTTTGTGTTCCTGGTAAATCCTCTTATATCTCTATTACTACAGGCCACCTCGGCATCTTCCTGGGAATTAGGCTGTCTGGATAGGCAGAGCAGCAGATACATACCTTTGCTGTCAGGGGATCAGGTGTGAAGCTCATTTTCACTTTCATGACGTTTCAAAAGATCACAGGTTATTTTCTTAGTGCCTAGTCAGAGAGAGATGGGAAAGAGCCGGAAGGTGAGGCACCAAACTGTGGTGATGTTGGAGCAATGGGGCTGAAGCTCATTTACAAGCTTCTCATTGTCTTTTATTTTCTTAATTGCCTTAATGGGCATGTGTTACTCCAAAATGAAGTGAGATTGTTTTCCTTATTTCCTGTAATTTACAGAGAGGAGGTTTGATCATATAACCCAGGGACTTCAAATCCATTGATCTTGGGGTCGAGAGAGGAGCTTCTTTTTAAGTATTCCTTTTGAACGATGTTTTCACTAATGAATTCAAAGCCTATAAAGGGAAAAACCCACGTTTCTTCACCACCAAGTTTCACAATAGCTATTAGATGACCACAGCATCATCAAAGCCGTGGGAAACGCACGTCTTGGGTGTGGGAGGGGGAGGGGGCTTCAAGAGTTGCACTTTGCCAAGGAAACTGATTCTGACACCCAAACCCACAGGCTGAAGGTGATGCTGTGAACCTGGGAAAGTCCAGGCCTAGTTCAGGCTTGCACCGGTCTCTTCTCATCCCAGAAGATGTGGAGGGGGCCCTGGCTCTGGGTTGCCTGGCGTCAGCTGTGAGTTCCAAGCAGAGGCTCAGAGTCCCAGTTTGGGGTGTGGCTTGACCAGCTGACTCAGAACAGTGGGGTCCGGGCACCAAGGGAAGAGAAGGTGCCTCCCGACAGAGGAAAGGACCAAGCTACAGACCAGGGTAACTCCCCAGCAGTGGGCAGTGGGGGGCGGAGGGCGAGGCTGGCTGGCTGAGGCCCTTCAGGTCCTAGGCTTGTTGGGCTGGCTCTGTGCTCTTAGACGCTGCCAGGGTCCCAGGGCACAAGTCAGGCCTGGGTCCCGAGCCAGCTCCGGAATCTGCTGGTCGCCCCACGTGCCTCGCGCCCCGCCCCTCCGGCCTCGCGCCCCGCCCCCTCGCGCCTCCCACCTGGCGGCCCGCCCGCCTCCCGCCCCGCCGATTGGGGGCGCCCGGCCGCGCTCCCGCTATAGGTCTTCCGCGCACTGCATCCCGCTCAGCAGCGAGAGGCCTAGAGAGGCTGCGGCTCCCGCTCCCTAGACGCCCGGGGCGCCATGGGCGAGCTCCCGTTCTTCAGGGCGCACACTGCCTTTCACCCGGACCGCCTGTGGATCTGGGAAAAGGCCGTGTATGTGGACGAGAACCAGCGCACTTGGCTGCCCATAACCATCGAGGTACGGCCGCTTTGGGGCCAGGCTGGGCGGGCAGCATGGGCATCACCATCCCTGGTCCAGCCAGGGGAGCCAGAGACGCCCCAGGCCGTGCAAGGCCCTTGAGGAGCCTCTCAGAGGCGGCAGGGTGAGGGTGGTGGCAGCGAGGCTCACAAGGCCTGATCCGCCCAGGGTGGTCAGGGGGCTCCAGGTGAAACCACTTTGAGCTGGGCTCTGAAGGATGAGTAGGAGTTCTCCAGGTCGGCAGGAAGGTGGGTGGGAAAAGCACACAGGCATGCGGGCCGGAGGATGGGCACCCATTGCCTCTGGAGTGTGTGAATATGATCTTGAGTAAAATAGGACTTTTCTGGGTTTTAGGGTCCTAATCCATAAAATGGCAAGAACATCTGTAATGATGCATACATGTGGTCGATTATCAGAACCTCCTTAGGTGAGCCTCAGAAATCTGTGCTTTAAAAGGACCCTCAAACAGCTTATGATCGGCCAGGTTTGGGAACCACTGTCCCAGAGGTTGAGATATTTCATACCTCCTCTATGCTGTGGAAGAAACAAACTTCACAAACAATACAGTAGGATAAAAGCCAGGATTGAATAAATGTTGACGTTTCATGTGTAATGCCTTAAGATGGAGCTTTAGTTAATGTTAACTTTTTAATAGAAATATAACTCTCTTACAAGTACTTTCCATCAGAGCATGGATTTCCTCCAAGAAACTTAGGAGAAAAATGTTGAAACTCTTTCCATATATAAATAGAAGAAAGTATAAAAGCAAAATTAAAATATATAATATTAAAACAGTTATGTGATATAATAGCAAACAGCAAAAAGTTATTGAGTAGTGACTGTGTCCCCATTTTACAGATGAGGAAACTGAGGCATAAAAATGTCAATTTGTCCAAACTGGAACCGCTAGTAGGTTATGGGCTTGGGATTCCAGGTTCTTAACCACCATCTATATTTACATCTTTATTGGAATTTAAATTTTTGAAATAAAAATCAAGTTAAATATTTACTTTTTTTTAAGTCAAGTATTTGAAGAAAATTTAAGTGAATATCTATTTTTAAATCTCTGCTTGGGGAATATCTTCTTCAACATGACACTGAAACCACAAAGCAGAGTTTTCACATGATCATTGTAAATTCTGCACAAAACATAACCCACTAGCAAATTGTGGGGCAGAATTTGTCCCACGTAACTCAAAGGACTAGTACTCTTAATTTGTAAAGATTTACTTCCTGAGCCCTGGTGGTCTAGTGGTTAAGATTCGGTGCCCTCACTGCCTCTGCTGGGATTCGGTTCCCAGTCAGGGGACCACACCACCTGTCCGTTGGTTGTCATCATACTGTGGTGGCTGTGTGTTGCTGTGATGCTAAAAGCTACACCACTGGGATTTCAATACCAGCAGGGTCCCCCACGGTAGACAGGTTTCAGCAGAGCTTCCAGACTAGACAGACTAGGAAGAAGGACCTGGTCACCCACTTCCAAAATAACTGGCCATGAAGACCCTGTGAACAGCAGTGGAGCATTGTCTGATACAGCTCTGGTGAGAGGATGGGGTGCAGAAAGACCGGGCAGGGTTCCGCTCCGCTGTTGCTAGCAGTTGGAATAGACGGCACTAACAACAAAGATGTACTTAAATCATCAAGAAAAAAGATGAATGAGCAAACTAAAAATGGTTAAAGGACCTGGAAGAGTTTAACACAGCAAGAATGGGGACTTGCCCACTTACAACTTGCAGGATGATATGAATTATTTTTTAACAGTGAGATCTAATTTATTTCATAGAAAATTTGCAAAAATGATTTCCCCTTTGGAAAAATAGTCATTGAACAAACAGGAGTGCCTAGTTTACATGCCAAGTACGATTCTAGGCTGTGAGGGTTTGCAGCGACTGTGATAAAACCCCTCTGCTTGTAAAGCTGACGTGCAACTGGGGGAGGAGGATAACAAAATAATGGAGGCCGGTAGTCAGTTATGTAGGAGTTGGAAGTGGATGAGAGGCAGTCACGAGTGGCATGGGGTCTTCAGGCAGGACCCCTGAGTGTCTTAATTCGCATTTGCCTGTGATATTTTGCCCATGATTTTATTTGAAACCTGTCTGCACCTCTGTTTTAGGCATGCCTCTTATTTATAGCTTAGTGTTGGATTTTGCTGAAATTTGTCTTTATAGACATGCAATTGAGCAGAGACCTGCCTAAAAGAAGGATGTGAGCCCTGCGCAGATCTAGGGGAGAATGTTCCAGACAGAGGACAACAGGTGCAGGAGCTTACTGGAAGTGTGGCATGTCCCAGAAATAGCGAGGAGGCCCCTGTGGCTGGGATGGGGTTGGGGTGATGAACAGAAGGACAGATGAGGGAGGCAGGGGCCCGGCTGTGTGGGCCTGTGGACCGTGGTAAACATTTCAGTTTGTTCTGCCTGCGATGGGAGGGCGTTGGAGGGTGTCGAGCAGGGGAGTGACATGATATTTAGATGCACAGTCTGGCTGCCGTGCTGAGAATTGATTGTGGGGCACAAGACCAACAAGGCAGCAACTTAGGAAGTTATCGTGATAGTCTGGGGGAGCGATGATAATAGCGGGCAGTGGTGGAGATGGGGAAAAGTGGTCTGTCACCTGATTCTGGGGTCTGGAGATATCTTGTTTAAAATGGGATATGACAAAATAAAGAAAAATCGGAGAAAATCCATCAGCTGAAATAGGTAAGGAAGCTCAGGGTCCCATGGCACACCCAGCAACTAGAAGTTTGTCAGGGAGAAGTGGGCCTTTGGTGGCCCTGTCTGGGTGTCTGGACATGTGCGATGCTGGTCCTCTTGGCCTAGCCAGAGTCCCTGCGAAAAGCATGCATGGCTTAAGGAGCAGAGCTTCTGGGAACTGTGATCGCCAGCATCTCAGATGCCAGCTGGGCCGGGCGGGTGGCAGGAAGGACTCTGGTTATTTGTGCCTGGAGGAGCCCCGGCCTGAAGGTGGGCCCTGGTCTTCTCGTCTTTTCAGATGGACAGCAGCCTCCAGGTACTGATGCGCCAGGAAGATATCCCCCTGGGGGAGCCCGTGCGCCCCAGCCAGCTAGGCCCTTACCTGCTGCCTTTGATGTGGCAGCTTTACCCAGGAAGAAAGTACCGAGGCTCAGACTCCAGTTTCTGGCGCATAGTGTACCACATCGAGGCAAGTGTGTGCTTCTCCAAGGACCATCGGGGCATCCTGGATCCCCCTTCCCCATGTCTGGCCTCTGCAGTATATCTGTTCCCTCCATCTCTGCACCAAAAGCTAAAAAAAAAAAAAAGGACTTTACAACTGCAGATTTTTAAAGGACGGGATTAGAGAGACTTTAGAACTGAATGACCAGGCCACCCTCTGAGGTCTCTAACAGAAGCTCCCTCGGCCGTAGGAAGGCCTCTCTGGTGGGCAGTCACGGGGTGAAGGCTGGTGGGAGGAAGGGCAGTCTCATCTCCCCAGGGCCCCTGGAATCCCCACCCCCCCCCCCCAGCCCCACACAGGTTCCCACCTGCTGCTCCGCGCTGTGGAGGGCCCAGAAGCCAGGAACGGAAAGAGAATCCCTGGGCTCTAACTCGCTTCTCTCCCGCAGTTCAGTGGCATAGAGGACATGCTCCTCGAGCAGGTGCCAGACCCGGATAATGAGTGATGTGGTGAGCACCCTGGGGCCCGGTACCTTTGAGTCCAGTGTGGCCAGGTCAGAAAGAAGGCATACCCCTTCTCCACGAAGGCAGTGAGCGCTGACTCCACCCTGAGTGTGCTGCCCCTGAGGGTCCCCGGGGCTGGGGACCCAGGCTCTCCCCTTGACCACCTTGGGAGCCAGTCCTTTTTAGGCAGCCCCCTCAGTGATAGAGGCCCCCATCCGTACAGGGCTTCAAGGTGACGGGCACTGTCGCCTGATCATCACATCAACTGAACTAGGTGTTACTTGATTTTATAGCTTATAAAAATGAGTTTTGAAGAAGTGCAATGACTTGTCCGGATCACAGAGCCAGGTTTCAAACCCAGGTCTTGTGGCACCAAGCTGCTCGCTCTGTCCACAGTTGGCCCTTGCTCAGCTTTGGGGCCAGCACTGACCACCCAGCTCCCGTCTAGACTGGCCCCAGCAGCTCCGCTCCCCGCTCCCTGCACCCTGCCCCTCGCCTCCGCCAGGTCCTTCCCTTTGCCTCAGACCTGTCTTCTCTTGTCCTCCCGCCCCAGGTCCCGTGGTTCCCGTCTCCCTGAGCCCGCGTCCTGCCGGCCTGCAGTGGGGATGTTCGAGCTTGTGTTCACTTTTTTACCAGCCCTGTGTTCTGCTCTGCCTACCCACATCCGGGAGGGAATGGACAGGCAGAGGATGAGCCCCACCCAGGGCCTGCTGGACTTGTCTGGACCTGGCATCCCCTGGCCCATGGGCAGTGCAGAGGACCTGGCTCGGTACAGCGTCCTCCAGGTGCCCCAGCTATACCTGTGCCTCTGGTCTTCTCAGCTGTCTGACAGTTCTCGGCCTCCCTCTCTGTTCTGTCCCTCACAGCAAATAGTGTCATGTGCTGCACACCTGGGCTGATTCTTGTTCTGTTCCCTCAGCTCCGTGTACCTCTGGCTGCAAGGGAATGGGGCCTACCCGCCTGAGACTGGGCCAGGCCTCTGAGCCCCTGGACTGGCTGTTTCATGTGGCCATGCCTGCCTGCAACCATGCCTGCACAAGCCCCACCTTACCAGCAGGTTCAATGCAGTTCACAGGAGGCCTGCGAGGAGCCCAAGTCTGTGCCTGCTGGTGGCAGGTCCAGGGCCCGTGACATGGCAGGAGGCCAGGCAGGCGAGCACTGCAGGTAGCCCCTTAGATTGCCCACCTGTAGGACAGAGATTGGAGGTCCTCCCTTTTACAGATGCCCACACATCTGGATGTTATGAAGTTGTATATGGTGTGAACACTTTGTACTGTTGCTTGATTAAATGTAAGACAATTCATCTAACTTCGTGCTGAATCAGCTTCTATCCTTGACCTAGATTCTAGTGGAGAGAAACAAGAACAGGCAGTCAGCGAATAAGAAAATCTGAAAGAGAAAGAATACTCATGAAGTTAGTATATTTCTTTTACTTTGGAGATAAGGCTGGAATTTTTTTTTTCTTATAATCCAAACATTCAAAACCCCTGTGCTCTTGGAGGCATAATTTGAGAACCGCCGAGTAAGTGGCCTCACAAAGTCTTTCTCAGCAATTCTTGGTATTAGAGACGCTCTCCGTCTGGCCCTGCCCTCCTCACTGCCCTGTCCCTGCCAGCTCTGTCTCCTCCCTGCCCTGACACGCACCAGGCTCTCCTGAACATGGGAGTTCCCATGCCAGCAGGAGTCCCTCCTCCCTGAAAATGTCCTGACTACCCAAGCGCCAACCAGAGTCCCCTCCCCACCTCCCGTGACCTGTGGTCACAGCCCAGCCCACCCTATGCCGGGTCCCTCCTGCCATCTCAAGATAAGCTGCCCTGCCCCTGCCTTCTGAGCAGCTGAGCAGGACCTCAGGTGTCACAAAGGGATGCCTTCCAGTGAAAGGAGTCCTTTCTGTGGAATGCTGGTCCTCCCCACTAAAGCGTGACTTTAGTCCCCAGCTTCCTCATCACAGAGAGATGTGGGGATAATGATACGCACAGGTGGTTAAGTGTCTACAAAGAGAATTATCTAAGAAAAATACTCCTGCTCCCATTTTATGTTCTCTGATCCCGGTCTTACCCGGCGCTAGACAGATAAGCATCGGACACCACGCCTGTCAGGGTTTGTATCTCTTCATTTTAACCCCAGTGCCTTGCCCAGTGCAAGCGTTTGGTCCGTGGGAACTCTTACTACACAGACGCCTCTCAGTGGAGACAGAGCATCAGAAGGTCAGAGCAGGAGGAACACCAGAGATCTGCCAGTTTCCTCATTTTAGGAACAGGCCCAGGAAGAGGAAAGTTCTTGTATGGGCTGAATGTTTGTGTTGACAAAATTCATGTGTTGACACCCTAACCCCCAATGTGATGGTGTTTGGAGGTGGGGCCTTTGCGAGATGATTAAGGTTAGATGAGGTCGTGAGGGTGGGGCGAGTGCCCTTATTAGAAGAGAAAGAGAGAGCCGGCGAGCTCAGTTGCACGCACTGAGGAAGCGCCATGTGAGGACACAGAGAGAAGGCGCTGTCTACAGGCCAGGAGGAGGGTCCTCGCTAGACACCGAACCTGCCGGCACCTTGGTCTGGGATTTCCCAGTAGCCTCCAGAACTGAGAAGCTAATGTCTGTTGTTTAAGTACCCAGTCTGTGTGATTCTGGGACAGCAGCCTGAGCGGACTAGGGCAGTTCTCGTGCAAGATTCTTCTGTTTCTGAAACCGTCCAGCACTGTCGTTAACTGTGCCAGGCGCTGCAGATCCAGCAGCGAACGGAACAGAGGCCTTGCCCTCATGCAGCTTTCCTTTTAGAAAGAGATGAAGTGGCAGCTCAGAACGTGCAGAATCCTACAGAGAAAACAGAACAGGGTAACGTGGCGGCGACGTAGGCGGGGTGGTGAAGAAATCAGTGTCTGTGGAGGGGCCTTTAAGATTGGACTTTGCAAACGAGAGGGAGCTGGATTCTCAGATGGGGGGAGAGTCCCAGGAGGAGGAAATGACAAGTGCTGTGTGGCTGAATTTGTTGAGGAAACTAAAAACAGCAAAAGGATTTCTTCTCACTCAGAGAAATGCTGTTTTATAAAAATTGCCCCTAATCAATTAACTCTAAGTGCAATGCAGAATCTCAGTTTTCCACGGCAAGAATGACTTGGGTTCTGGCTGACACAGTGGGGCGGACAGTGGTTCTGCTGAGATGGGGAGGGGTGAGCGTGGGCAGGGGCGCGGATCAGGAGCTCTGTGGGAGCCACACTACGCGTGAGAGGCCTGTGGTACCTCCAGCAGGAGGGCTGAGAGGCTGCTGATTGAATGTAGATCTAGAACTCAGGTCAGGACTAAAAACACACAGTTAGGAGTCGTTAAAACATAAATGATAATTGAAGCCAGGGGCTGACTGAGGTCGCAGATGGAGAGATGGTGGTGTCTTTGAAAGCAAGAGACAAAAGTGTAAGAACGAGGCTGTGGAGAGGCTGAATACAGAGAAGTGGCCATTGGATCTAGCCACATGGAGACAGATGGTGACGCTGTCAGGAAAGGAGTCAGCGCTGTGACAGGGGCACAGCCCTATGGGGTGGGCCGAGGAGAGAAGGGGAGATGAGAAGGGACAGTCCCTGCCCTGAGCTTTGTTGTGAGGGAATTGGAGAAGTACAGTGTTTTCGGTTGGAGATAATGGAGCCTGTGTGTCTGTGCAGCGGGAAGGGACAAACTGACAAGGCGGCACAGAGAGGGTACACTGAAAGGAACAGCATTCTTGAGGAAGCTGGAAGAGGTGAGCCAGGGGCCCAAATGCAAATCGGCATCCGACGGAGCAGCTTCAGCAGTCATCAACACCATGCCAATCTTGTTTCATTTTCCCCCACACAAAGCTGGGGTTTGTTTTTTTGCTAAAGTCTTTTAAATACTTTATAATTTCGCCCACAAGTATTTTATTATGTGTCTTTCCAGGTAAGACTTTTTATTCCTGAGAGCCACAAGACCATGATCACACCTCACAAAATTAACCGTAATTCCTCAGTATCATCTAATCCCTGGTCTGGTTTCAAGTTTCCCCGCGTATCTCAGTGTCTTTCTACACTGGTTTAAATCGACACCCGGACTGCCTGTGGCTGATGCGTCTCCAGTCTCTAGTCATCTGTACGAGCACCCTCTTCCTTCTTTAGAACAGAACAGATGCGCAGTCCTGTAGACTTTCTGGATTTGGTTGATGGCATCCTAGAATATCCTTTAGTATGTTTCTCTTCCTATTTCCGGTACTCTGGCAACTTAGAAACTTGATTGGATTCCATTCCAGTTCAGTTCTTTGGGCAAGAACACGTCCTGGGTGGTGCCATATACCATTCACTGCATCCGATCTGGAACCCCCCGAGTCAGGTCTCCCCAATGCAGTGGTGGCGAGGGTGCCAGATGGGAGCTCAGGTGGTGCCAGCCCACCATCCACCACGACGTTCCCCGTCAGCCTGTCCTCTGCACCCTTGGCGTCCTTCTGATGTGCGGTCATCCTGTGCAAGAATGTTGTCTTGCCTTTTATTTAAATCTACATCTGTGTCTTCCAGGAACCTTTTACAATTCTAATTATAAAAGTTTTGCACATTGTTGTTGAAACTGCTCTCAGGTATTTTTTTTTTGCTGTTATAATGGTGTCTTCCCTTCCCTTTTGTGTTAATTCTATCTTTTAACAGCATATTGCTCAAGGGGATGTGTGTGTATAAAATGGCTATTGTTTTCTGTATGTCAACTTTATGTTCTGCTATATTACTAAATTATTATTTATAGTGGTTTTCACTGATTCTTTGGGTATTCCTGATATATAACCACAGCATCTGCAAATAGAGATATTTTTACCTCTTCCTTTCTAATTCGTAGGGTTGTAATCCTTTCTCTTGTCTGACACCTCCAAGGCTTCGGTGAGTGGTGGAAGTAGTAGGCATT